ATCTTCCTTCCTTTTCTCAGTCTTGCCGTTTATTTTCTTCCACCTATACACTTGCTGAAACCTCCCATTTCCTTTAAAAAAAAAAAAAATCTCATCTCTTTTTCCACTCTATCTCTGCCAGCTTACCACCACATCTCTTTCCTTTGCCATCTACTAAAACTCTTCAGTTAAGAAGATTTAAATTCCAATTTGTAAATCCAGTAGTTATTTTTTTCCCCTCATGGTCCTTTTCTCAGCCTTCTGTGGCCTTAACACATTAGGATTTCTCTTCTCCTGTGACCTCCATATCATCTTGGTTTTCTTCCTACTCCTTTGACAAATGCTTTTCCTTCTGCTGAGTCATCTTTTTTTGGAGAGCTTACCTGTTTTCTCTAACACAGTCTTCATTTTAGTGTTGATAAATTTACAAATTATGTTTCTAACCCCAACCTTACTGAAGTTTTTGGAATCTTGTCTCCCAGTCTTGCTTCTTGTCTAGGCCCATCTCACATGCAGTCAATTTCTTTTCTCCCCTCAGGTTGTCATGTGTATGAGAGAAAGGGGTTGGCTTATTTCCCTGTGGTAACCAGCCCATCTGCATGGGCCAGTTTATTATAGTAGATCTGACTTGTCTGACACATTGAACAGATGATAGAAGTGAGAGAGACCCCTAAATTTAAACTAGTTTGAATCCATCTTTTAAGCAATGTCTGTTAGCCTTTCATTTTTATTGGTCATCTCTGAAAATTTATATAGACATTTAAAATATGTTTTACCTAAGCAGATGAGAGCTGTTTATACATTGAGTTGAATGCATAGGTATATCTTCCTGTCTTTCTTGTAGTTGAGGGAATAGGTAGAGCACACAGGGTGACTAGGGGAAGATGTTGCATGCCTGAATTAAAGTGGTGCCTTTCTGCCTAATAGAGATGCTTTTCCTATAACTGATGAAATGAGTCACACTATTTTGAATGGTTGTTTTTTTTTTTTTTTTTTTTTTTTTTTTTTAATGTTTATTTTTGAGAGTGAGAGAGAGAGAGAGAGATAGAATGTGATTGGGCAAGAGGTAGAGAGAGAAGGAGATACAAAATCTGAAGCAGGCTCCAGGCTCTGGGCTGTCAGCACAGAGCACGATGCGGGGCTCAAACTCACGGACCGCGAGATCATGACCTGAGCCGAAGTCAGACGCTCAACCGACTGAGCCGCCCAGATGCCCGAGTCATACCATTTTGTATTGATGCCCTATATGTATAATATTCCACAGTAAAATTCTTAGATATGTTTCAAAGGGGGTTGGGGCAATTACTAAAGTCTGAGTATCCCACTCTGGAGTTGGAAAGGCCAGAACTGGGGCCAGCAGCAAATCCTAAGAGGTAAAACTAGATTCAGGACCAAGAGTCATGTTGATCTTAGGAACTAACAATTGTGATCAGGCATAGAGCCAGGCCAGATGAAAGAGGTGCACAGAGCCTGGTGGTGATAAAACCGGTTCCAAGGTTTAGAAGCCCAGTGAGCAGTGGGGTCATTGAGCATGCAGACAGAATCAGAAAAGCAGAAGGAGAGACCAGAAACCAATGCACGGTTTGGATCATGAGGAAATCACAGTATTTCTTTCTTGGTCTGGAGTCCACAATCTGAAGGCTCATAGGTAGACAGTGAGCCAGGTTTGGAAGGTGTATGTGGGTTCCCCTGCCTGAAGTGGAGGTGAGCAAGGCCAGAGAGAAGGTAGATGTGCAGATGATTATGGAAGAGATCGTTGTGAAAGTTATGGAGAAATTTCTAGTGGGAACAACTAGATAAAAGGGAATATACAAGTAGCTTAAATTAACCACAGCAATCAGAAATCCTACATTTCCCTTTTTTTTGCCAGAAGATGAAGAGTAGTGACTCATTTAAGACCAGATATGCACCGTTCTATATTGAACCAGTAAAATTTTTCTATGCATACACTTTTGCATTCTTTTATATTTCACCAAATATTTATTGAGTTCCTAATTAGAAATAGTTTTGAATGTGTTCTGTGTAGCTAGCACCATCCAGATACACTCTTTACTGTTAATGCCTGGTACATAAGTGTGAGTTAATAGCCATTATAACTACTTTGAGACCAGTATAGGAAGCATAATGGTATAGCAGGACCTTATTTATCTGCTTTCATCAGGGGCAGTATTGAGGTTTCAGGTTAATTTAAGGTTAAAATTTTAAAAATTACTTAAAATCAAATGGCTGGAGATTATTTTAAATAAACTTTTAACTCGTTATAAAAATTATTGATATTTGATATTTTTTGATTTTGATAATTGATAAAAGTCATTTTTAGAAAACTACAGAAAACATGAGCAAAATTAATAGCACTGTGGTAATACTGTATGGAGATAACTGTTGTAACATTTGGGTAGAGGCGCCTGGGTGGTTCAGTTGGTTGAACTTTCGACTCTTGATTTCAGTTCAGGTGATCCCAGGGTTGTGGGATTAAGTTCTGCGTTGGGCTCTGCACTGAGCATGGAACCTACTTAAGATATTCTCTCCCTCCTTCCCTCCCTCTCTCACTCTCCCTCCCTCACTCTCCCTCCCTCTGTCTTCCCCCCTTCCCCTCTGCTCCACTCCTCTGCTGGAGCTCTCTTTCTCTGTCTCTCTCCAAAACAAAACAGTTTGCATATATTTCTCCTTCCTTTGTTCCTTCGTTCCTTCCCTCCTTCCCCCCTTTGAGAGAGAGAGCAAGAGCTTGAGTGGGGAAGGGGCAGAGGAAGAGGGAGAAAGAGAATCGGAAGCAGCCTCCACACTCAGAGCAGAGCCAAACACAGGACTCGAGCTCACGGCTGAGATCATGACCTGAGCTGAAATCAACAGTTGGACAGCTTACCGAGCCACCCAGGCGCCCCTTGGGTATATTTGTTAATAGCCTTCTCTCCACACCCTCTGTATTTTTAACAGAATTGTAGTTGTATTGCATAGAAAGTTTTGTGTCCTGATTCTTTTCCTCAGGGCTAAACCATAATTTATTTAGAAACTTTAACCTTCAGGTCATTTACAGTATTTTATTATCCTAAAACAACTTCCACTTAGCTATCTTTATGCATAACATAAAGATGTTGTGCATAGATGTTGTGTGCATCTGATTTTTTCCTTAACATAGGTTCCTAGAAGTGTAATTATTAGTTAGAAACTATACTTGGCATCTCTCTAGAAGCACGTGGCAGTTTATGATTTATGTTCCACAAATAATGAATTGGGAGGGAACATACAGCTGTTAGCTAGGAACAAACATAGCCTGTGATCTGGTGACCCGAGTGATCCAGAGCTCTTGCTGGGTCCTGGTCTGCTATCTAGGTTGGTTCTTTCCGTTTGGGGGAAGAGGATAAAATTACTAGTGGACAATCTGTGCCATAGCCATACATGCTCAGTGCTTAATGGCTTAAGGGCCTTTGTGTGTTTTTGAATATAAGATGAGAAAAACTAACAATACTTCGGTGGTATCAGTGGAAGAGTATCATTTATTGCTACTTACCTGTTTTTGCTATTAAAAAATTAGTTTTCTTTTAATGTTCCAGTATACATTTAACCTTTCAGAGTCAGACTTCCTAAAGAGCTTTCTGCCTGCATAACTAAATTGGATTTAATGGGTTTTTTTGTTTGTTTGTTTTTCATTTTTTTTTAATGTTTTATTTATTTTTAAGACAGAGAGAGAGCACGAGTGGGGATGGGGCAGAGAGAGAGAGGAAGACACAGAATCTGAAGCAGGCTCCGGGCTCTGAGCTGTCAGCACAGAGCCCGACGCGGGGCTCAGACTCACGAAGTGTGAGATCATGACCTGGGCCGAAGTCGGACGTTCAACCGACTGAACCACCCGGGTGCCCCTGTTTGTTTGTTTTTAATTTCTAGTTCTAAATTAGTAGTTCCCATGGGCTGAGGAAGAGGAAGTGAGGGAGGGAGATGGATATGGCTATAAAAGGACACCCCAAGGGATCTTCAAGGTTTTGGAACTGTTAATGCATCTTGACTGTGGTGGATACGTGAACCTACATATGTGATAAAATTGTACAGAACTAGGGGTGCCTGGGTGGTTCAGTTGGCTGAGCATCCGACTTTGGCTCAAGTCATGATCTCACAGTGTGTGAGTTCAAGCTCCGTGTCAGGCTCTGTGCTAACAGCTTGGAGCCTGGAGCTTGCTTCGGATTCTGTGTCTCCCCCTCTCTCTGCCCCTCCGCTGCTCATGCTCTGTCTGTCTTTCTCTCAAAAATAAATAAAAACATTAAAAAAAAATTTTTTTAATTGTACAGAACTAAATACACAGAGAATTGAGTACAAGTAAAACTGGGGAAATCTGAATAAGATTGGTAAATTGTATTCATACTCATAACCTGATTGTGATATTATGCTATAGTTTGGCAAGATGCTACCATTGGGGAAAACTGGATAAAGGATAGATGAGAGCTTGCTGTATTATATCTTACAATTACATGTGAATCTACAGTGATCTCAGTAGATATTTCAATTAAAATTTGTTTCCTAGTTCTAAAAATGGGTATTTTGATAGTATGGTGGTTTTTGTTCAATGACAGATTTGAAATCAGATTGAGCATTCATTTACAAGTACAGTACTATGTTTTATCCAGATCTTTTTGTTTCCATTAAGCTTATCTACCATGAACAGAAGAAGAAATGCTTTTTAAAATTTCACTGTCACTGGGGTGCCTGGGTGGTTCATCAGTTGAGAGTCTGACTTTTTGGCTCAGGTCATTCTTGAGGTTTGTGGATTCAAGCCCTGTGTTGGGCTCTGCGCTGACAGCTCAGAGACTGGAGTCTGCTTTGGGTATTCTCTCTCTCTCTCTCTCTCTCTCTCTCTCTCTCTCTCTGCCCTTCCCCTGCTTGCACTGTCTCCCTCACTCTCAAAAAAATTAAATAAACGTGAAAAAAAAATTAAGTTTCACTATCCCTAAGATTCTAGAAATGGGATGTAATTTTCTTTCTTTCTTTCCTTCTTTCTTTTTTTTTTTTTTTTTTTTTTTTTTCTGTTTCAGCCATGAAGACTTTGAATTTATCTCAGGAACACGAATGCGCAAACTTGCCCGAGAAGGCCAGAAACCTCCGGAAGGCTTTATGGCTCCCAAAGCCTGGACTGTGCTGATGGAATACTACAAATCCTTGGAGAAAGCTTAAGCTGTTGACCCTGTCACTCCACCTTTGACACTTAACTGAGTAACGAGGGGACCACGTAGTTCCTGTTGGCATTTCTTTGTGGTGGTGTCTGTCTGGACACGCTTCCTCAACACAGACCACTTTCCTTAACTAGCGTCAGTTTTGGTCTGCCTTACGAGTTTTGTTTTGAACTAGTGTAATACACTGCTGGTTTTAATGTATCTTTTCCACTTATTATAGTTAATATTCTTACAGTGCAATTTTAAAATCTTGTCTTTTTATATTATATTTATGCTTCTGTCTTATGATTTTTTCAAGCTGTTATATTAGTTGTAACCAATAGTATACACATTGAATCTCATTTTTCATCCCTTGGAAAAAGAAAAAGTCCACTAAACAATAAACTTGGCTAGACTTCGTTTGGGGAATTTTACAAGACATCTGTAGCAATTAGGTTTTCTTTTTCTACATTGAAAAATATAAACTGCTTCCTTCCTTCCTTCCAGGAAGCTATTGATCTCTTAGCTGTTATAATCTATTCTTATGATCTGTGTAAGCCCTGAATGAACTTTCGATCTATTCAATAACATTAAACTTTTTGGCTTCTTATTTATATGATGTTTTTTGTTTTGTTTACACTTAATCTTTCCTTCTTGTGAAAAGTTTCTGATGGAGGAGGGAAAATACAAGCATCTTTCCGTTCCTTGAATCTAATAATTAGCTCCTGTTTTTCATAGTGAATTTTTAAATGGAAAAATGATAATGCATCCTGTCCAAAAATTCAGCCAGATTCCCCAAATATCTCTAATATTCTTAAACACCGTAAGGTGGTGGTACTAGCCATAGAGCTAGGGAGATGATGGTCCATTTGGGGAGGGGGCATCGTATCCAGTTTGCTTTTGTAGGATATCCTCAAGTAGACTATTCAAGTGGAGATGTTTATTTAGGAGCTGGATATACAATTTTGGTTGAGATGCCAGCATTTTTTTTTTGTTTTTTTTTGTTTTTGTTTTTGTTTTTGTTTTTTTTTGTTTGTTTTTTCCTTATGAGACTTTTATTAATGCCAGAAATGAAACAGTAAAAAACATAATGAATGTTTTAAGATCAACACGACTGTGGGTACAAGGATGGTATTGACAGGGATGGAGACGGCCTTGGGAGGAGAAAGCCAGGCCTGAGGGGAGCCTTCTGTCTTGACTCAGATCTAAAGGCCACAGTTCAGCCTGTCCTTGCTCTAGGACATCGGCCTGCACAGGATGACTCTGTGCCTCTGAGGCCAAGCTGTGTCCTGGGAGATGCCAGCATTTTTGATTTGCAAGCATACTTTCTGTGAAATAATCATGATCTACTCTTTAAAAATTTAGCATTAAAATGAGATGGCAGAGTATACATGGAGATAGTGTATTGTCATTAAGGTAAATGAGGATAAAATATCACTAGGCAAAGAGATAGAAGGAAAAATGCAAAAACAGTAAAATTGGATTATGGAAGGAATCAGTGAGAAAGTTGGTAAATAGAAAAAAATGGAGGCTATGAGTAGATATTTTCTAGTGGATAGATTTATTCACTCGTGAATACTGAATAAAAATATTCATTAGGTGATGTAGAGTTATATGGATGGATATGTTTACGGGAACAATTAGAAGTGACAGTTGGTATTATTTTGGTGCCACATTTTCTAGATCTCTTTTTTAAGGGAGAACTCCTTTATATAAGTCTACATAGGTTGAAGGGCACCATAGATTTTCCCTCTCCAACTGCAAACAGCTAAGGTATAACACAGCACCTCAGCTAATTTAGAAACTCCTACCTAAAGTGTTGAAAATGTGTAGGAAGTGATGCAAAGATATAGAGACAAAACGAATCATGGATTCATGGTGGCAGCGGTAGAGTTGAGATTCTGGGGACTGTGATGTCAAGTGGAAGTGGAGCCCGTGGGGATGGGGTTTCCTGTGCAGAAGTAGTATCCCGTCTGCAACATTCCAGTGGTGTGACCTTGGGTCAGTCCTCCACATCAGCTTCATTTCATTCCATACCATTTTCTGAGCCTCGTTCTCTTGCATTTTCCATCAATTCTCTAAGATACCCAATAGTCTTCCTATAAATTTCTTTGCTACCAAAATTATCTGGAGTTTCTCTTGTTTGCCATCAGGCTCCCCTGATCATAACATAAGCATGTGAGGAAAATGTGTATTTCATATAAAAATCTTGATACTGCTAAATTTCAAGATGATTTTTACTGTCAGCTGTGTATTTAAGAGTTAAAAATACAGAAGAAAAACATCTTCAAAAACTTGGCACTTAGGAAACTTGTCCTTTATACTCATAAAATCAAGATGAGGTCATGAAGAAAAGAAGTTACGATTAATAGCATTAGGATGAAATGTGTTCTAAAAAGCAGATTTCTATTCTATCTGTAATTGTCCTTTCCTGAATCTGGTCCCCACTGTACCCCCTGGCCTCCAGCCTGCCAAAGAGAGACATGATGAAAACGTAATTCTATGCCCCTGGGCCCTTGGGATTGGCCACCCACTTGTGTGTTGCAGAGAAATGGGGAAGAAAATAGAAGCACCCAATGATTTCCACTAGTTCACATGTTGGTATGTGTATCTTTAATCAAAAAATCTGATACACACAAATTTAATTTTTCCTCTTCCCAGTCCATAAAAATGAGCCCAAACCAATCTTTAAAACATTCAACCTTTTTACATTCAACCTCTCCTGCCAAGTGGTCTTGGAAATCTCAGTGCCATTTTTTTTATCTATCCATCAGCTGGAAAAGAGAATGGAAAAATACTCCTTTTTAAAGAAAGGAGGAAAAGAAAGTGCAATCATCTTGGCAAAAATAATGTTTTAAATCTGTCAATTCTCTGTTCTACTCTGGTAATCCAGACCACATATTTGAGTTTTATTTTCATCTAAGAGGGGAGCAATTATGTCTGTCTCTTGGAAGTCAGCATTCAGATACTTTATCAAGAAAAATTCGGAAGTCATGGTTCTTACACATGGTCTATTTTTATTAGCACATATGTATCCAGGGGTTGTTTGGCTCACAAAGTAAGGAAGTATTTGGCCACTGGGCCTCTTTTCTGTGTGTGGTATATTTCTTGGAGGGCCTGCAAACCTCTTGGGATATATTTCTGCTGGATTCCATTCCCTGATCCACACATTATTGTCTTGAATATAATTATATAAAAATGGCACAAGGAACATCCTGCCCACTTAACTCCGAGCGAGTGTTTTCTGGACTGAGGTAAAAAGCTGGCTTCCCTAAAGATATGTACTTGAGGAGTGACTAAGCAGGGGTGTGTTAAGATTGAAGCCTCCTTCTTATCCTGACTTCCTGCTTCCCCAAATTCCCAAGGAAAATGGCACCAGAATTGAGGGCCTAGATTTGAGGAAATATGAAACATGGAAAATTGCATCACGAACCTCTATCTCCCAGACCTGCACCAGCACTGAGCATCCGTAATGATCTGTCTTCTCTGCACTGAAATGAATTATAATATGAGCTCCCTCACTGCATTCCTCACAACAGCTCTGGCTTATCCTCTTTGAAAAGTGTTTGTTCTCCCCAGCAGCACAACCACTTCAATTGCCCAAAAGAACATAGGCATCTGTTAAAAGTAAGCATACTGGGGCCTTGCTGCGCAATCGGTTCCCCAAGAAAAACCAGCCGCTTCAAGCAAGAGGAGTTAATGTCAACATGTCTGGATTCACTGCCTGGCTGCCCAGAGTTTGCCCTACAAGACTTTCATCTTCAGTGTGGTTAGTGTTATCTTGTGTGATCTAGGGGCATGTATATATAAGTGTTCTACATAGGTGCAGAAATAGAAATTTGATTTTCGACATGTGGGCTAATTCCAATGAGTTACTCATACAGCCGTTACAGAAATTTGAGTAAGAAAAAAGTTAAAAGCTTAGATATTTAGATGTTTTGGCTTAAGCCAAGGAACAAGCTTAAGAGAGAGTACAGTTTTGTGATTTAAGAATTCAGGCTTGGAAATAAAATTTGACCAATTCCTTGTTGGTTGTGACTTGCAGCTTCATGAAGCCTGTTTCCTTACCTGTGAAGGTCATAGTCAGGAATTATGAGGCAGTGTGTGTAAAGTAATCCTTTATCATCATATTTAAAGATGTAGTCTTTTGGCCAAGAAATACAGTGATACCAATATCTTTGAGACAAGACCTTGTAATATGTGCATAGTAACACTGTTCTCTAGCCCACTTCACAAAGTGACTAAATACAGATACATGTTAGATAACAAATCTAAGGGGCACCTGGGTAGCTCAGTCGGTTAAGGGTCCAATTTCACCTTAGGTCATGATATCAAGGTTTGTGAGTGCAAGCCCCACACTGGGCTCAGTGCTGTCAGCTCAGAGCCTGCTTCAGTTCCTCTGTCTCCCTGTCTCTCCGCCTGTCTGTCTCTCTCAGAAATAAATAACCGTTAAAAAAAAAAAAAAAAAGCAACCAACAAATCTAAGACTATCCAAACACTGTTCCTGGTTCAGCCATGCTTTTTTCCCCTGCATTTTCCTTGTGTCTAACTTCTGTGTTTTCTAGATTAAGAAAACAAGTACATTTTTGCAAGGGGAAAATGCAGAAAAATACACACATTTGTCTAAAACAAGCATAGACTAATTCAAATGCAAAAGAAAGGAATCATTGAAAAAATGGTGGCACTTTGAAAAATGAGATCAATGAAATATATTTTAAAATATGAGGAGTGGTAGATCAGGATTAGAAAGAAAGTTTATTCTCAACATTAAGTTTAATGAGGAAGGTCCGCTTTAATTAACATCAGTTATATTAAAGCTGCATTTTACAAGCATTACACTTCAGATAAAAGCTGAGTTCAGCTTGTTTGACACCTTTGATTAAAGCATAAAATCTTAAATATATTTGACTTTTAGAATTGAACTATATAAGTGGTGCGTCATTTACTAGCTAATTATTTGCATCTCCTGGGGATATAACAGGTATTATGGTATTAGGAATATGAGGTACAAAATTATATACT